GGGATTCAGGCCACATACAAGTACTCACCCCCAACAATTCAGGTAAGTTAAATAATAACCCTAAAGGATTGTAGCTTCAACCATTGGCACATATACAGTAAAATGAAAATTTTCAAGGCAAAAATAAGTTGAGGATCTTCCCACAAAAGAGCATTGTCTCCAGTTTAATGCTTTAATATTCTTTAATTTATCCAATTTCCTTCACATTGAAGGGAGGCTTTGAATTTTGCCTAAATAGCACGCATCCTGTCACCAGTTAAGTTCTGCTATTTATTAAACTGACCCCCCCCCCTTTGAGATCCCTGCTTGAACATTGCTAGGAGCTCAGTTCTGAATGAGAATGATAAAGTCAGTATCCTATACTCATCGTTTTCAAAAAGGTACCTCTGCTACCAGTCCTCTTGATAAGGGGCTGGCATCTTCTGTAGCTCACCAAAATCTTTATATTGTTTCTACATCTTCCTACTCATAACCTCAAACCTCTCTGTCCCCACTCCATCCTCACAGAAAAAGAATGGACCATCCCTAAAAAGTGGGGATTCAGCCACCTTTTAAATTGCTTAGCAAAGAGTCTTTTCCCTTTTGAGCAGTGTTCCCAGATTAAGAACTAGCCTGATCCACAAGTAACACTACCAAGGAACTGCTCAACGAAGTTATCTTTCACCATTCTGTTCTAACCTTCAGGTCAGAGGGAGAATAGAAGCGCACTAGAGAGTCTTCCAGGTTTTCAGCTACCAGCCCTGCAGGTGAGCCATGACTAGTCTAACTTGTCTGAGTATGAAAAATTCACAAAGTTTGGCCTGCACGTTGGACACATTCTGGTCTCCTGTTAAGGTGGTAGAATGTAGCCAGTGGAGAATGACCTGGGTTTCAAGTGTGGTAACAATATGTACGCAATTTTCCATAATGGTCTCAAGTTTCAAAGAGTCTATCCCACTATCAGATTAGCTTCCTGGTTTGAGGTTTAAAAAAATAGGTCACATAGTAGTGAAAGGCTTTAAACTGAGAGATTTTGACCAAAGTAACTAAGTTTGCGGACACAGCTGACATTCCCAAGTTTCACCAAAAAAAGTATTCTTGATGGAATACATCTTTTGCATAGAGGTACTACTAGAACTAGGAAAACCATGTTTATTTCCCCTGAGATAACGAGGACATTTTATAAATTTATGGGACTATCATTCTGATCCAGGCAATGAGGGGAAAAGGCCGTGGAAACGAGGTTTGTTAAGGAGCTCTGTTCAATGAAAAGTCTAGGCTTGCCTTTTAAGTTAACTTTTATGGCATTGGTCTTGAGGATATTTAAGCCCTTTCTCCGTACCAAGCTCCTGGTGACCCCAAGGAATTACTAAGGTAGATAAATATTTTGCTCTCGTATTCCAAAGTTCCTTTTATTTCCATCAGCAGGAAATTAGGGTCTACTACACCCTAAGAGGCAAAAGTGGGAAAATAATATCCTGCTCTAAGATCCTCACAAATGGAGGGATTATCCTACAGATGAGAAAATAATTGAAATGTATAAACCATCTACAAAGATATGGGCCCTAAATGTAAAAAAACATTTATGAAAAAGTTGAAGAAAATTGAATACCTGTTGCACATTTGATATTAAGGAATTATCAACAGGTTGTTTTGGGGGGTTTTTTGGTAGGTATAGTGCTATTGTGGTTATATTTTTTAAAATAGTCTATCTGGCCCTAGCTAATTTTGCCCTAGAGCATTGGTTTGAGGTCTCGGGTTCGATTCCAGTCAAGGGCACATACCTCGGTTGCAGGTTCGATTCCTAGCCCATCAGGGTGTGTTGGGAAGCAACCAGTCGATGTGTCTCTCACATCGATGTTTCTCTCTCCCCCTCTCCTTTCCACTCTCTAAAAATCAATGGAAAAATATCCTCAGGTGAGGATTAACAAAATAAAATGAAATTAAAAATAATTTATATTTTGGAGATGCATACTAAAATATTAATGGACAGAAAGTGATTATCTGGTTTTTGCTTTAGTATAATATAGTGGAGAGGCGCAGTGAGAAAGTAGAAATGAAAAATGGGCCTTGAGTTGTGGAAATTGGGTGATGGGTACATGTGAGTTCATGACACTACTATACTTTTGTTTTAAATTTCTATAAGAAAGAGTTATTGAAGAAAGTGCCGCCTCCCTGGAGGCATAATTCTGCCTCCCTGGTAATCATCTGTGGGCATTATGTTCCGGGTCTTCTAAAGTAGAAGTCTTATCACCACCAGATAGTATCACACTGAAATACCACCGTTTCGTAAGTAGCGATAAAGCCTTTGATGTCTCACATCTTAGTTTGGAAAAGTTATCATGCAATGGAGAAAACTATGTGAAAGCAATGGTGGTGGTTTGCTGTCCTAATGAATTTCATAAAATAGTTTGAGAGGTCCTTATTTGCCCTCTTGGTTATAAACATCCGTATCTGCCTTCTCTCTTCTGCTGCAGACTCTCTACCAACAAAGGCAGATGGGATTAGCCAGGGGGAGAGAAGCATGGACCATTCCCAGATAGAACAACTTCAAGGTCTGATCTGTACATGCTACTGAAGGACAGACTAGCATCCAATACCCATTAGGCATGATGGCCTTAGGAAATGTACCCCTGGCTGGTTTCATTCTGTACTTTCTATCTTTACTATGTACACCCTGTATTACCTCCTTAGAAAGTGGTTAGGTATTATATAAGGCTAGTGCTTCAGGAAGATTACATTTCTCCCACAAGACATGTAGCCCTCTTATTTCCTACAGCTTGAAACAAAGGTTATAAAAACATCTCTTGTCATCCTTGGGGGTGGGGGTAATATACTCATTAACTAGGTTTTACTTTTGGATTTCATTTTCTAGTTTTGGATATATTCTCCCATTGCCAATGTTAACAAGTAACAATTCTGTTCCCTGTCCTAATTTATTATACTTTTTTTTTTCAGTTTGCCTATTGTTTCCTCTATGCCTAGTTATTATTCAATGTTTATTTTCCTTTCTGTCTGATAATAGTTGGAGACAAGATGTTCAGCTTACTAAAGTACATAGATAATAAAGTCGTCCTTTTATTGCTATTGCAATTCTATTAGTATTGCAAGCTCTAGAATGGTGGAATAGGCAAAGAACAATACCACTGAGATCAATTATTTATTGTTCTTTGGGTACTAAGGGGTAGAATTAAATGGGTAGGCCACAGGCAGGCAGGCCTTAAGCAAAAATATTGGGGGTGAGGTAAAATAGCAAGCATCTGCCAGAAATAAATAGGTCTTGGGAATGACCTTGTAGATAAACTAAGATGCCACTACCCTTTCTGGAACTCTGGATTTATTTTTAAAGGCATTTCCAGACACACTTCATCTTCTGAGCAAGAGCCTGTGCTGTAGCAGGTATAGGAAACAATCAGCCTAGTGATACTGATCTACTGCCTTTCAAAGTTCTTTTTTATTAATATTATTTATTGATTTGAGGGAGAGAAAGATACATCTATTTGTTGTTTCATTTATGCATGCATTGGCTGATACTTGTATGTGCCCTGACTAGGGGGATTAAACACGTAACCTTGGTGTATCAGGATAACACTCTAACCAAATGATCTACCCAGCCAGGGCAAAGTTATTGTTCTTTTAATTTACCTCAATATATCTTGCTGCTTCAAGAATAAATAAAATGTATATTAAATCAGAATGTTAATGAATTTGGCTACATTAATCTCTAAAGCATAGAAGCGGCAAAGTGGAGGAGAGAGAAACAATTTTATTTTTGGCCTTTTTATTATTCTAGCAGTTTGGGGCTACCACTCTTATTTCTAGATGGTTAACTCATTGATATCATTATACCTGACCCCCAACTGATGAAAACCATTCTTAAACATCAATAAATTCAGTTAAAGACCATGATCCCTCTGCCCTCAAGACAGATCCTATAAAGAGAGGGAAAAGTCTCTTTTCCGGATACAAAATTGAACCAACACCAGGAAGATGAAAAATCAGCCTCTGCCAAGTTAAGCAGGAGGGTGTCAGGCTTGTAAAACCAAACCCAGAGCCTACCTGCAGTCCTCCGAACAGTAGAAACCATCCCCTCTCCTATACCTTTCCGTAACCTAATTCTACTTTTTAAAAAAGTCATCTCTCCTAATTCCCACCTCCAATAAATATCCAGTCTAAATTATTCTCCACCCAGTTATTAAACTTTTTCACAAGCTCCATGGGGAAGATTTACCCTGAGACATAGTGAAGAGAATGGGGATTTTGGAAAGAGATAAAAAGGTACAAGGCAAAGTGGTCCCCGTATCAGAAAAAACATTCTGCTTCCTCTGCGACTCAGCGATGAAGCAGGTAAAACATGGAGTTGGTATGAGGAAGAGTTTAAATATCTGTGAGACTGGGACATACTGAGATTCTTAGCTGCATTAAGGGTGGACTTGTGCTCAGAGAAAAGGAGAGGTGCAAGGCGGCCTTATATTCCAGGAAAAATGGTGGGACTAGGCCAGGGGTGGGGAACCTTTTTTCTGCCAAGGGCCATTAGGATATTTATAGCATCATTCTTGGGCCATACAAAATTATAAACTTAAAAATTAGCCTGCTATTTGGGTCAAACATTTAATTAATTAACTCACCCCTAATGCCTTGGCAGGACCGGACATTCCCTAAGCCTGAACTAGGGATGCACTGGAATCAAAATTCTTTACTCCGCCTTTCCAATCCTCCTATAGACGTGGGACTAAGGCGTAGCTGCCCTGTGGTATAATAAGGGAAAGGAAAAGCAGATGAGAACAGGAGCCTTGGCCCAGCCCATAGGTAAAGGACCAGATCCTTAGCACTCTTCACTGAAGCTAAGGCCTGAAATTTCTGCTCATTCAATCCCCACCTCACTTTGTGCCTTATGCTCATCCTCCCTAGTCCACCCTCAAAATATCCATCTTTCCCCCAACTTAAAAAACACAAAGCTTTTCAGTTCTTTGCCACAAGGTAATTTTTAAAATATTGGTTTTTTGTTTAAACAGTTACTAAGTTGGTTCGTCTTTTAGTAAGACTGCCCCTCCCATAGCCCCCATTCAGTCCTGTATGATCACATCATCATCATCATCGCTGTCATCGTCCTCCTCCTCCTCCTCCTCCTCCTCCTCTTCTTCATCATCTTCAGGCAGTTCTTCTTCCTCCTCTTCCTCCTCTTCATCTAGACAAACCACCACCTCAGCTGGCTTAGGTAAACGAGAATCAAACCAATCCAGTACCTGTTGGATGCTAAGCCTTGACGCCTCACTCAGTTGAGGGACATCGCTTTCCCGTAGCTGTTGGTGGGCTGCCCAGTACCTCTCCAAGGGCTGTATATCCGGTGGAGGTGGGGGCACTGGCAGAGGTGGTGTCTCAGCCCATTCATTCAAAGAGCGGGTTGAAGGCGATGGTGTGGGAATTGCTGGATCCTGGAAACTAGGGGCACCAGGTACTGCATTGTCCCGAAACCATTTTAGTTGCCCATGCTTCAAGGCATAGCGTGTGTCACCAAACCACTGAATAATCTCAGACCGAGGTAAACCAGTGATCTGTTCTAATTTATGGTAATCCTCACGCCGTGCCCATTGACACTGTAAAAAAAACGATTTGAGGATAGCCAACTGCTCTTTGGTTTTGCGCTTGGTCTTTCGCTGGCGTTGGGTATCAGGGGAAAGGTACTCTGCAGGGCCAATGCTGCCTAGTACTGAGTTAGGCCTCAGCCTCTGGGGCCAGGCTGGCTCCACATGTATGGGTAGAGCCTGCTCATTGGGTGACAGTGGCTGTGGGAGACAGCCCAGTGGCTGGGAGGGTTTAGAGGTGACTGTAATTCCATTAGCCAGTATCTGGAAAGAGGAAGAGGTAGAGGAAGGAGGAGTCACATTACATGCTGACCCCTGCTTATAACTACTGGCAAGTAATGAGATTGGTGGGGCTTTATCCCGAGCTTGTGGCTGGTGGACAGCTGTAGAGTGGTTCCAGGAAGCAGTACCTAGGCCATGTGATTGGTCAGGACCCCTGCCTGCCTGCTCCTTAGAGAGATCACTGCTTTGAATATCCTGCCAAAATCCTGATTGGTGGGAGAATGCCCCACTGCCAGGTGCCATCAGAGGCTCCTTTGCTCTCTGGTGACTCATTGGCTCTGAGGGATCCTCAGACTCTACCTTCAATCCTTTCATCTGGGCGGGCTCACTGAGAGTCAGGGGCACTATTCCAAGACTAACTTGTTCTGGAGGTGGCATTGGAGAAGGAGGCACCTCCTCTGGGGGCCGCCCTGCATGATGAGTAAAAGAGAGGAGGGATTTGAAATGGAGTTGGTCCCTGTGATATACCACTCGAGCTCGAGTCTCTTCTATTTCTTCAGATGACCAGCTGATGCCACAGCGGAGGCGCTGGGCCATGAACCAGGTCTTGACTTTTTCTATCTGCAGCCCATAGCGTAGACAGAGAAGGGCAATGTCTGCTAGGCTGGGATAGGGAAAGTAGCTGAAGGTTTGTAGCAGGTGTTCATTGCCATCCAGCTCACTGGTCTGGGCTGCTTGGGTCCACACAAGCTGGAGCTCCTCGGAGATCGGAGGGAGGCAGATGAGCCCCGCAGGGGAGGTGTTAAGATTGCTGGCCTCTTTATTAGGAGGCATGCTGCTTTCTGATCTGTGCCCGTCAGAGATAGCTGTAAGCAGAGAAACAGCTCAGTCATTAGGGTTCCTCTTTTGGCCCACTGCTCAGTTTCTACCAAACAAAATGCTGTACTCTAAAACAATCAACTTTCTATGTGTACTGTACTGTTTTGCTTTCAAAGTGCTCTAACAATTTCTCATTTACTTTCATAACTCTATGAGTCAGAGCCAGCTACAATTCCCATTATGTGTATGAAAAAAACCATAATTACCCAGTCACATGACTAGTGAGTGTTTTCACCAAGAGGAAAATCTGTCTTTAGATGTCAAGGAAAACATCCTTATATAGCCTTTACCTTTCCAATACAAACTTACTTCACCACATTCATGGAACAAGAGTCACAAAATATAAAGACTCGACTACAAAAACTAGAGGAGCAGTAATCTCCTCTTGTTATAAACTCATTAGCTCCTAACAACTCATTATCTCTAGAATGTGGAGATAGGTTGGGAATACAACCTATATGAAAATCTAGAAGGTAGGACAGCACTGTTCCTCTGCCCAATCCCCCTTTCTGTCCCTTGTTGGTTGGGGAGGGGGGGTAATATAAGTGCCTTTAAACCCTAAAACCTGATAGCTTTAATTTTTTTGCTCAGTAGGATGAGAGATAGGTCAGGTATCTAGGATAAATGGGGCTCACCCCACCCCCACCCCACTAGGGTAGAGAGAAGGGAATGTTTTCTTCCCCCAACTCATCCTCGGAACAAAGGTTATCCCCTCCCCCCCAGCCTTTGTCTCTTCAGCTGCTCAGTCTCTCTCCAGGGAGCCTAGGGAACCCCTCAGAATTTAACAGCCCCCTTCACACAGGGCGGAAGGCCTGCAGCTCTTAATCTCTTCTTCTCAGGCCCAGGTGGGCAGGTTCATAAACTGTAAGTAGGTCCTGCAAGCCGCCCAGCAGCACCACTGGTTCTGAGTGGGGATTGCAGAAATAGCCCCTGACCAGGCTTCATTCCTGAAATACCTGCTGCTGCTATTCCCCAGGATAATCCTGTTGACTGAATTTTACTTCAGCTCCCCGTGTGGGCCTTAGAGACATGTTAAAGATGGACAGGATTCCTATGCAGTGCTATAAGACGAATTGAGAAAAATCTCAAGTCCAGAAAGTTACAAATAGAGCAGCGTAATGAGGGGTTTTATATGATGAACAGAAAAACCCAGAAGCATTTTAATGTCACCATTCCCTTTTAACAAGCAAAACTTAACTGAAGTCCATGCAGAACCTAAAGGCAATATATAGTAAAGAGAACCTTAAGAGGGTAAATGGAGGCAGTATGGCACAGTTGGTAGAAATATGATTCTTAAATGAGGCCAGTCTGCAGTTTGAACCCCAGTTCTGTCACCAGCTGCATGCTCTTGGGCCAAAGTTACTGACTTACATGAGTCTGTTTCCTCATGTGTGAAAAATGGAGACAGTGCTGGGTATATGTAAAGTTACCTATTTTTACTGAGTACCTGCTATGTGCTAAGGTATCATGTGTAGGCACCGCCCAAACCAGCTGTTAGAGATGGAAGTCTGGGGTGAAGCAAATTTGAGGTTAGTGGAGGCTCCACCACTTCCTAGGGTGCTGCTTGTACTTGGGCAAGTAATTTAACCCTCTAAGCCAGTGATGGCGAACCTATGACACGCGTGTCGGAGGTGACACACGAACTCTTTTGGTTGATTTTTCTTTGTTAAATGGCATTTAAATATATAAAATAAATATCAAAAATATAAGTCTTTGTTTTACTATGATTGCAAATATCAAAAAGTTTCTATATGTGACACAGCACTGGAGTTAAGTTAGGGTTTTTCAAAATGCTGACATGCTGAGCTCAAAAGGTTCGCCATCACTGCTCTAAGCCTTATAACTCACAAGTTTAAGACTAAGTGAAAAAATGCACTTGACTATATACCTAGAACAAAGGCTCAATAAATAGCTGTATCATTACTTCAGCCTCATGGGGTGATTCTGATATAAATAAGGTAATGATCCTCCTAGACAATAGAGGAAGTGAGGCAAAAACTGAATTCTTTAAAATTAGTTTTCAATCTGTTTTTGCAGAGTCCAGATTTTAACAGGCACAAGAGGAAAATTACATGTGATTTTTTTTTTTTTACTTCTTATATTTTGAAAGTTGGTTATAACTCCAGAAAGGATTTTGCTGTTTTAAAAAAGTATAAAAATCACTGCTTTAGGAGAGTTGAATCCGTAATTTGGATATAAATCCTTTTTGATTGCCAGCTGAATTGCCAGTGTGGTAGCTTTACCTTCATCCTCCAGATTCATCCCGGACATGGTTGAGTGGCCTGTGAGGAATTGCTTGCACAGTCAAGTCTAAACCCACAGGAACACCACCAAACTTAAGCTGGAGAATACTTTGATTGCAACACTTGACATCTACTTAACCTTATTTGTGTCCTGTTTTTTTTTTATTCACCCTCACCCTTACAATCTTGTACCCTGTTCTTTAAGGACACAGTAACACTTTGGATATGAGAAAAATGTAGCATAAAGAATAAATGTAGCATCCTCCAGTATGAGGATGAAGACTGCCACATAGGAAATAAGGCAGGCACAGCTATAAGCCTATAAGGAAGCATTCTGATTTCATTTATGTGGTTTGCTATCCTTCAGATTCTCATGGCATCGTCTTGATAGTTCAATGTAATAAGCAGTAATGCAAATACTGTATTTGGTGTACTGTATACGTCCACTTTTCCAATTATGCAAAACACAAGTTACTGAAGACTTCCTAATACAGATGGTGGCTTAAATTAAGCCATAGCTGTTTAGCTGGGTATTTCCCTGGAAGAATCTGACTTTAAAATAAAAACTACAACTAGAGAGTGGTTCATGAGAATTAAATTAGTGGTTCACTAATAAAAAAAATAGAGTCAGGATATTGCCCTTCTTTCTCTTTGGGCTTTCCATACCCCTGACAGATGGCAAAAAAGAATGAGCAGCTTTGAACTACCAGACTAGGCATTCACATAATCCTAGGGAAAAAAGATAGATGTTCAGAACTTTAGGCTTGAGCCTAGGCTTATGGTTAAAGCAAGAGACAGTTAGAAAGACTAGATATGATCCTCTGAATTCCCTAAATCTTTATTCAGAGAAGAATTATCGACTGAAATGTGTCTTGATGGTACAGTTTTAAGGGCCTTAGGGGACTTGTAGTGATACTCAACTTACATGCTTCTCAACTTTTTAGATCCTGAAACTTTGCAAATCAGATAAAAATTATGGGCACTCAGAAAGTTATGACTACTACTCCACCCCCAAATAAATATTCACACTTACACATTATATATAATCTCAAGGGGTTCACTGGCTGCTCAGAAGTCCAGCTTTAGAACCTCTGTCTAATGTTCTCCCAACTTAATTAAGGCAATGGTAATAACTGCTTGAAGAGGAACAAACAGCTTGATGTGAATGGATGGAAGACTCAAGAAAATTTAAGTAGGTATTGGTGATATTAGTTGGAGAGAGTGGAAGGGAGGGGTGGTCAACTGCGCCAGGAGCCTGGTTTCATTGACCCACTGGATTATATGACCAATACCCATAGCGTACTGGATACTAGAGTCTGGTAGGCTACTGTCTAGTGTGCCAAAATCTCCTGCTTTACTGCCCAGAATACTTGGGCCAGTTATGTGTGATTCCAAACCTGCTTATGCCGTTGTTTTTTTATATTTATATAATAATGTAATTAAACATTACATAAACCAATGAAATATTAGTGCATTAAAAATGGTTCCTAGCCCTAACCGGTTTGGCTCAGTGGATAAAGTGTCGGCCTGCGGACTCAAGGGTCCCAGGTTCAATTCCGGTCATGGGCATGTACCTTGGTTGCGGGCATATCCCCAGTGGGGGGTGTGCAAGAGGCAGCTGATCGATGTTTCTAACTCTTTATCCCTCTCCCTTCCTCTCTGTAAAAAATCAATAAAAATATTTAAAAAAAAACAACGGTTCCTATGAAAGACAATACAAAAGAGTATACATTTTGAAAACTGTTGATTGGGAGTAGGCAAGGCAACTGAAAGATTGGAGGGGCAGGGGACTTAAAACAATTTTTAAAAATCTCAAAAGGATTCTGCATTTAGCTTGCTTCAAAAAGTTTAAAATTCTCACTCCACTTTAAAGAAATCAAACCTGGCCCGTGGTGGCTCAGTGGTTGAGCCACTATGAACTAGAAGGTCAGGGTTTGACTCCTGGTCAGGGCACATGCCTGGGTTGCAGGCTCTATCTCCAGTGTGGGCCATGCAGGAGACAGCCAATCAATGATTCTCTCTCATCACTGATGTTTCTATTTCTCTCTTCCTCTCCCTTCCTCTCTGAAATCAATAAAAATATATTTTAAAGAAATCAAACCTGAAAATCACAGATGAGAAGCAGCGGCTCCCATATCAGACTGCACACTAGAATTACCTGGGAAACTTAAAGCAGGGCACCCTCCTCATTTCGACTTAATTAGTCTGGAGTGGGACCCAGGCATCAGTACTTTTAAAAAAGTTCTCAGAGTGCAGCCAGATTTGAGATTTGCTTGTATAGATTCCATAAAGTCAATTGAGAACTCCAATCAGCAGACTTACACAAAGAAAACTCGGGGGCTACCCCCAAAAGAAATGAACATACTTTTATTGTATCTTTTTAATATATTTTTATTGATTTCAGAGAGGAAGGGGGAGAGAGAGAGAAAGAAACATTAATGATGAGAGAGAATCAGTGATCGGCTGCATCCTGCATGCCCCCCACTGGGGACGGAGCCCACAACCCGGGCATGTGCCCCTGACCGGAATCGAACCCGGGACCCCTCAGTCCCCAGGCCAACGCTCTATCCACTGAGCCAAACCAGCTAGGATGAAATGAACATACTTTTAATGGCAATGCTTACATACATATGCATCATTTTAAAAATCCCAACTTTAACTGGCTTATATTTTTCCAATTACTGCCATCTACCTATCCTAATCATATAAAAGGACTTCACATGTATGGTGAAAAGTTCATATGATAAAAGACCTGGTCTGGGCCCACCTCACTAAACAGGTCTCAGCTTGAGTGTTCTTTCAGTTTACAAGTTTCAGACTAGGACGCAACACCAGGAACCTCTCTGAGGACTCGGGTTCTCACTTTCCTGGTAAGTTTTCTGAGTATGGCTGGGTAGGGGGTCAGCAGGGGCAGTTTCTCCTAAACCGCCCATTCCTAAAGGCCAAGGCTCCCCAGAAGCAAGGCCAGGGTTCTGTATGTATGCTGAGGTCGCCAGGAGGTAGTCATGGGGAGGAGGAGGCCTGGGGAGGAAACGTTTCTCCTATCCTCCATTTCACAGGCAGTCTAAGGCTCCAAACTGGGTCAGAGAACAAAAAGTTGCTGCATTTGGGGCGATGAGCCCCAGGGAGCCTGCGAGTCTCTATCCTCCCCTGGCCAAGGGCGTCCCAATCCAGCCTGCCTCCTCCCTACACACCCACTCACCCTCCCCCAGTTCCGACCGGGAACCGAAAAGTCCAAAAGATAAAGGAGAGACAACCCGGCGAGTTCGAAACTCGAATTCTGCCCCCCGCGCGCAGATAGGGCTCCGCAGGTCGGAGATCATAACGGGGGGCCGGGAGGGGAAGTCCGGGGGGGCTGGGGATCACTCACCGCGGTCCGGCCCGGGCGGCGGCTCCCAGCCTCGCACCATGGGCCGGGGGGCAAAGGGGAGAGGGCAGGGCGCCTCCGGGGTGGAAGTGGGGCTCCCGCCCGGCGCGGCCTGCTCCTAGCCCCCCGCGCGGAGGGTCGGGACCAGGAATGCCCTTCCCGCCCCGAGAGCGCGCCCCTCTAGCGCGGCCCTGCCGGAGCGCGTTGGGGGCCGGGCGGGGCGGGCCCAGGGGCGGTACCCAGGCGGCCCGAGCCCCGATTCGTGGACGCAGGCAGGCTGGCACCGGAGGGACACACTGGGCTGCCATTGGCTGCGTGGGTCTCGGCTTTAGTCGGCCATTGGCTGCGTGGGCCTCGGCCGGGGGCTATTGGTGCGCGGGGCAGGGAAGATGTCCTCCTCCGCGGCCAGGGTAGCTGCCCCCGCCCTCGACCCCGCGGCGCCGGACCTGCGGGTGCGCGGCCTTGCGCCGCCGGCATCCCCCGAGGAACTCGCGGCGCCTTGCGGGGCTGTCCACGCTGCCAGCAACCACTTCCCAGTTGTTTCCTCCGGACCGGTCCCTTTCAGCATCCCTTAGCCTGACGCACGAGCCGCGCCTGCCCAGCAAAGGGGCCAGCGGCCGCAGCAGCGTCACTGCAAACGCAGCGCCTGGAGCTACCGGGAACTTGCTCCCGAGACGGATCCAATGTCCTGCCACCCGGAAAGACGGGGGTGGTACCGGGAGCGCGGCACCTTTTGCCTCCCGGGTCCAGCTGGCACCAAACAGGTGTTCCCAACGAACTGCCGGAGGGCATCTCCCTGCGCGCAGTAAGGAAGACCTGGGGCTCTGCCTCATATTTGGGACCTTGGTTTCCGCCGTCAAAAAACAGCGACAATAAAATGGACTTTCCACCAATGCAGTATTTCACACACTCTGAACTTCTGGGCCAACAGATTGCATAGTTAGGATACTCAGTCTTCTGAATAAAGCTCGGGAACAGTACTTTCTGAAGTGACTCTGGTTCTTAGGCTGGTCTTTCAAAGAGTCTCTTTTGCCTGTTCAGGTCACTGAATAGCTCTGTTTTCTGTTCCTGGCCCTGTATTTGCCCCTGCCCCCCTGCTCTCCCTCATTACATTTAGTAACAATCTCAACTAAGAGTCAGCCCCACCTCCTCCAAGTTAGTATTCCGCAGAAGCATGGGAGTAAGCAACAGGAGACAGACAGGGTGGGGCCAAAGTAGGCTTGCAATTGTGAATACACAAAAGTGTTTTCTTGTATTGTTTATTAGTTGTATTACTTTCCATATGAACAACTGTAAAGCTACTTTAGCCTCGCCCACACACACTCTCAGCTTTAGCATTAGAAGCTTTTGATCCCTCAGGGTTTAAGTTAGAGCTAGCGGTATATACTGACCTCCTCAATCATGAAGGAAGCGAAAAGTGAAACATTTTAGGCCCCAGCAGCCCTCAGTTTTCAGTGCAGTGGTCATTTTCTTATAATCCAAACAATGAGACTTGAGACCTGTTTGGCTGGAAAGTCAGGCAAGAACTGGGTAGGGATTTATTGCCTACCCCTGGAGGGTCCATTCAGTCACTCCGGGCATCACTAATCACAGGCTTGGAATTATGATGGGTGAAGAACTCAGCCATCTTTTTTGTCTCAGAAAGACACTAGTTCCCAGGAGCCAGGAGCAGAATCAAAGACAGATTTGGAAGAGGGAGAACCCAAGGAAAGAAGAAACTCCTCTGCCCCAGTTCTGAGTACAGGCTGACACCTCCCTCTTTTATGTGCATTTCACCCTAAAGCTTTAAATAGAAGATAGAGTTGCCTGGTTTGGGGAATGGAAGAGAGGAAGAGGCTGACAATATCAGAAAAGTGAGGGTCCCACCTTTAGCAAGACAATAACCCTCCCAGTTCTTCCAGGGAACTAGTGCTGAAGAGTGGGGGTTCAGCATGTCATCCTCAAGGTAGAAGTGTTAACCCCCATCACCGCTGGTAAAAGTCCTCTCTCCCTTTGCATGGCTCAGACATTCCCAGGACTGACCAGAGGCACACTTACCCTCTAGCTTGGGAAGAGAAGTCTCACAGACTGCTTCCAAAGCACTGGAGAAGCCCCAGCAACGTGTTCGCATGGTCACAGGTGTTTGTAAAATTTGGAAAACAAACAAAACCTTAAACTGTAATTGAGGCAGGAAAGTTAGAATAAAGCCTCAAGCTGTATCCCTCCCTTCCCATTTTTTGTCTTGGTCACAGACATAACCTTCACTGCCCACCTGTTCCTTCTCTTCCCCCTCACCAATTTCTTATAATTGAGAGGACAAAAAGGGGGGGGGGGTGAATCACTATCTGGAAAGGAGGGGCAAGGACAAGCTGCGTTGTCACCCCATCAGCGTCAGAAGCAGAGGACCACCCTATCTACCCCTTGTCCATCTATATGTATAAGCCTAAGTGACCAGCCGACTGGCCGGTAGCTATGATGTGCACCAACCACCAGGGGTCAGATGCTCAAATGGGCTGCCGAGCTGCGGTGACTTGGCAGCTACGGTTCTCAGGTGACCCACCCAGAACCAGAGAGGAAGAAGGAACTTTTAACATTTGCAACAACATGGATGGAACTGGAGAGCATTATGCTAAGCGAAATAAGCCAGTCGGAGAAAGATAATATCACATGATCTCACCTATATGTGGGATATAATGATCAACATAATTTGATGAACAAGAATAGATGGATCTAGAGACAAATGGTAGGGGAGTGGGGGGTTAGAGAGCAACTAAAGGACTTGTACGCATGCATATTAGCATAACCAATGGACACAGACACTGGGGCATTGGGGGCTTGCCCAGGGTGGGAATGGCTGGGGGGGGGGGGGGTCAATTGGGGAAAAAGGAGACATATGTAAAACTTTAGACAATAAAAAAAAATGTATATGTCAATAATTACAGGAAAATAAAAAGAGAGGAGGGAGCCCGATTCTGGTGCAGCACCCGAGGACTGCCCTCTCACAATCCGGGACCCCTCGGGGGATGTCAGAGCCAGTTTTGGCCCAATCCCCGCAGGCCAGGCCGAAGGACCCCACCGGTGCACGAATCCATGCACGGGGCCTCTATATATATTGTCCACCCGACCGGTAGCTATGACACGCACTGACCACCAGGAGCAGACACTCAACACAGGAGCTGCCATGACAGGCACTGACCATTTAAAAATAAACGGGCACCACGGACCTGGCACCAACAAACCAATGCTTGGCTTCCTACAGACCTTGCCACCAGCCTGGAGCGACACCCCACCAAATCACAGCGAATGCTGCCAAGACCCCATGATGCAAAATTCAGTCCACGGCCCAGCCCAGCCCGGAAACAGTCGCTGTGGGTGTCGGTTAATGATGTCACATAGCAGTGCCTGCCTTCCTCTCCTAGCAACTAGCCTTCTTGGAGTTTCTTTAGCCCAGGAACCCAACTTGCTTTATAGCCAGGTGCATTTTATAGCTTAACCAAATGTTTGTGATGCGTTTTCCCATGCCTCATCTCATTTGATCCTCACAGAAGTCCTGGAGTAGGTAGATAGGAGACTCAATAGAATCCTATTTTCTTTTCATTAGCCGAAAAATGGAGATTTAGAAAGCTTAGAAATTTTACCCAACTGAAAAGAAGGAATGGTGGACCTTAAAAATGACTTCAGGTTTTCTCACTGCACAGAATATAGTCAAACACTGCTGCAGTTAAATATTTTACCCTTTGATCTCCCTGCTTCGTGTTGATATTTACTGCTGTGTTGCTGACTATTACCTGAAAGAGAAGTTGGGGTACTTCACTGGGCTGGAAAAAGTTTAGCTAAATCAGAAAGCAGGTCTAATTAAGCAAGTTTATTCTATACTAGTGGCCTGGTGCAGGAATTTGTGCACATTGAAAGGAAATTAATTAGAAGAAATATTTTAATATCACTATTCGCCCTTTCTCTATAATGTGTCAACCAAATTTACAATCGACAATGACAGATGGAAACACACGAGTGCGATTGGCACCAGCGAGAGCTTTATATGTATCGCACATGAGCGAGTCAACTTAGCCTTTTCTATATACAGAATAAACTTGCTTAATTAGACCTGCTTTTGGATTTAGCTAAACTTTTTCCAGCCCAGTGAAGCACCCCAACTTCTCTTTCAGGTAATTGTCAGCAACACAATAGTAAATATCAACACGAAGCAGATTATTATTGTAGATCAGGCAGGGAGAACAAAGGGTAAAATATTTAACTGCAGCAGTGTTTGACTACATTCTGCACAGTGAGGAAACCTGAAGTCATTTTTAAGGTCCACCATTTCTTACTTTTTTTCAGTTGGGTAAAATTTCTAAGCTTTCTAAAATCTCCATTTTCCGGCTAATGAAAAGAAAATAGGATTCTATTGAATCTCCTATCTACCTACTCCAGGACTTCCGTGAGGATCTAATGAGATGAGGCACGGGAAAACACTTCACAGACATTTGGTTAAACTGTAAAGTGTTTCTACCTGGCTATAAAGCGAGTCGTCATAGCGACCAGGCAGAAGGTGGGAAGGACACTTAGCATATAGGCTAAGTTGACTCACACGTGTGCGACACATATAAAGCTCTCACTGGTGCCAGTTATGTGTGTTTCGATCTGTCATTGTCAATCGTGAATTTGGTTGACACTTCAATTATAAAGGGGGAATACCAATATTAAAATATTTCTTCTAATTAATTTCCTTTCAATGTGCATGAATCCATGCACCGGGACACTAGTATTTAATAAAACCCTTCCATGAAGCCCAGCTGGGGCTGGCTGGTGTGGTTCAGTGAATTGAGTGTCCTTCCATGCACCAAGAGGTCACGGATGGATTGATTCCCAGTCAGGGCACATATCTGGTTTTCAGACTCCACTCTCAGTAGGAAGCAGCCCATCAATGTTTCTCTCTCTCTCTCTCTCCCTTCCTTTCTACCTAATAATATATATTTTTTAAATCTATTATTCAAAAAAACAAAAAACTCCCACCAAGACTCCATTGGGCCATTTCGTTCTCTGAGGTCACCTAATCTCACTTCTCAGTGCATACTATCACATGAATAAATGTAGTATGCTTTGCTAAATGTAACACTTGAATTATTTCTTCTCCTGTGACAAGAACCTGGGCCCCATATCAGCTTGAGGACTCCCTGGGTGCCTGCCAGCATAACGATTGGTTAAGATTGGTATCTCGCCGAAACCGGTTTGGCTCAGTGGATAGAGCGTCGGCCTGCGGACTGAAGGGTCCCGGGTTCGATTCCGGTCAAGGGCATGTACCTGGGTTGCGGGCACATCCCCGGTGGGGGATGTGCAGGAGGTGGCTGATCGATGTTTCTCTCTCATCGATGTTTCTGACTCTCTATCTCTCTCCCTTCCTCTCTGTAAAAAATCAATAAAATATATTTAAAAAAAAAAAAAAGATTGGTATCTCTTTCCTTTGACTTTCCTTCCACCATACTTTGCATTCCATCAGGTATAAGTGTAAGGGCCTTGGGCACTTGGGGATTGGCTACATTTAGGGATACATTTAGTTTGGGTTTTTTAGGGTCACATCTGTGGTTTGCAATTACTTCTGTGAGTAAATAGTAGGTATAGTGTTATGGCTTGAATTGTGTCCCCCTCCCCCCCAAATTCTTATGTTAAAGTCCTAACTCCCAGTACCTCATAATGTTTTCAGAGATAAGGTCTATAAAGAGGTAATTAAGTTAAAATGAGGTCTGAGGGGAGTCCTAAACCAACATGACCGGTGTCCTTATGATAAGAAATTCGGACACAAACATGCACATAGGAAAGACCATGTGAAGACATAGTAAGAAAATATCGACCTATAAGCGAAGGACAGAGGAACTTCAATGAAACCAACCCTGCTGACACCTTGATCTCAAACTTCTAGAATTGAATTTCTGTTAAGTCACCCAGTCTGTAGTATTGTTACGGCAGCCCTAGAAAACTAATACATACAGCTTCCAGGAATACTCCTAATGTCAACAATTCTGGAACACAGGCTGATGCCACAGAGGGACCCTAGGCCGTAAGCCGTGGCGTGAAGCCCTGGAAAGCCCCCACCTACCTCTCCTTGGACGTCTGCTCCTCATGCTGACTTCTCTTCAGCATATGTAGTTTCACTTATAACGTACCAGAGTGGATACTCCGCAGTGACATCACAGTTTGGCTATTATGATGTAACGGGGAGGCATCTGATTATTCTCACACTAGAGCTTTATGGGTAACTGGATTTTTCATCATTCAGGTGATGTGGAGACAGTACTACGCTAGAACTTGACATTTTCCAAGGATGCCTCCCTTTAACATCGATTTCTGTTGCTCCGCTGTTTTAGACAGAGGCCCTTGCTTTTCCTCCCTCTCATATTTCTCATCTTTGGCTTTAGGGTTTCCCTTGGTAGGGAAAAGGGCTTTGCTCTTCTCTCCAGTGCTTAAGGAGCAGGATGTAACTTGGATTGTCCCCTTAAGGAAAACAGCCTCCACCCAAGGGGAAACACGGGACTTCTACCCAAGCTCCCTTTAACTGCACCAGCAGCTGGTGCTACCTGCCAGGAAACTAAAGCACTGTGCCCTGATAACTTTTCTTATCACTGCTCCAATGGTGGTGGGATCTTTTACTAGGGAGTCATATACCTGGGTGCCCAACTCCTTCCCACCCAACTTTTGCATAGGCAGAGGACTCTAGTAGACAGGGAATAGGACTTTTACAAAATGAGATGACCAG